GTTACCAAAAAAAGATGAGTCCCTCAGTAGCATAAAGGGCCAACATGTCTGCAAATTATTCTCGAATGGCTCAGAAAAAAACATATTTTTATATAGAGAGAAAAGCTGATAGAATAAATCTAGTAAAATGCGAACAATTGGGGAATCTGGGTGAGGGGGATATGAGAATTCTTTGTATTGTTCATACAACTCTCTGTAAGTTAGAAATTATTTCAAATTAGAAAGTTACCAAAAAAAGATGAGTCCCTCAGTAGCATAAAGACTCTGCTGCCCTCCCCTGTGAGGCCGGGACACTCCGTGCATGCTGCACATCATCCAGCGCTTGCCCTCTCTTGAGAGGGACGTGCGGAAGACTGGAATGAGCAATTAGGATGAAGTCACATTTTTAAAGAGGTTCTTCTATGTTACCAAAAAAGAGAAGAAAAGAAAAAACCTGCCCTTAAGTGAATTGTTTCTAGAAACATGTGCGTTGCTCAGAGCGTTAGGTGATGACAGAACTCATCTACAAAGAGCTGCAGAGGAAGTGGCATGCTGGTTTCCTTCAGCTTTGGCACACTTCCCCATCACAGCGATGAAATAGCACATGATTTTTCTGTTGGGAGGAACACATTGAAGGTTATTATGAATGTGTTGTAAGCATTATCTGTATGAGGTGACAGTGTGACCATCACCACTGCGGGTTAGAGAACAGACCGCCGCAAGGCCAGTGTGCGTGGGGTGGGTGGGCCCTGTGGCCTGAGGCTTTTGCCAGATTCATTCATTTGTGTGGGAGACGGGCATGGCTTGGGGGCAGGGGTGGTCTCATGAGAACAATGTGTAAAGATCTGAATGCCACCTAATGCTTAATAGTGAGAAACATAGCCGTGAAGTAAATGAGGTTCTGGTCCTTCTTGATCAGCACATTCTCTCTTGAAAGCTGGACTTACAAAGAAGCCAAAGGCCAGTCTCAGTGCAGGGTTATCAGGGTCTTGGCTGATGTCGTTTCCACTCTGGGATACCTGCTGTGGGAACTGGGTCATGCAGCATGGGGCCAGGGTGTCCTCTGCTCTGATTGGTGTGGATACTGTTCATACTTACTCTTTCACTGATGCGAGGCCGCCTATTGCTTCTCTGTGGAGACATTCTTTTTTTTTTTAGAGGAGAAAGGGACAATAGAAGACACAGGAGGCAAGATAAGACACAAGCATCCTGGCCAGGCGCAGTGGCTCCCGCCTGTAATCCTAGCACTCTGGGAGGCCAAGCTGGGAGGATTGTTTGAGCTCAGGAGTTCGAGACCAGTCTGAGCCACAGTGAGACCCCATCTCTCTACTAAAAATAGAAAAAATAAGCTAGGCATGGTGGTGTGTGCCTGTAGTCCCAGCTACTCAGGAGGCTGAGGCAGGAGGATTGCTTGAGCCCAGGAGTTTGAGGTTGCTGTGAGCTAGTCTGACACCACGGCACTCTAGCCTGGGCAACAGAGCAAGACTCTGTCTCAAAAAAAAAAAAGACACAGGCTTCCTAATGAAATGTTTCTGGAGCAAAAATTGAGAGCAAGTAGTTTGGAATGGCTGATGATGTACAAATTGGTATTCAGAATATACTCTATTATTCAGGGATAAACACAATTAGAGCACCCACATCTCTTTGATTTAATTAACTGGCAAATACTTGTGGCATTGTTGTGTGTATGGCGCTGTGGAGGCTGCAAGTAACTATCTTCAAAGCAGACTTGTCCTGTAGGGAGCATCTGGGCCAACCAGATGTTCATGGGAAGAGAAACATACAAAACATGTATCCAGGCCCTGGGGAAACACAGAGGAAGAAGACAGGTCTGTGACAGGAATGCCTAAGGCAGTGCAGTCAGGAAAGGCCATGGGGACCAACCTGTTCAGGGAGCAATGTTCTGTGGTCCCCACCCATGCCTCAAATGGATGGCCGGGGTCCAGCCTAAAGCTAGCTTGGAGGTATTCCAGATCCATGTGGGTGTGGAGAGGGGCAGGGGGTCTGTCTTAGTCAGTCCAGGCTGCTCTAACAAAATACCTTAGACTGCGTAATTTAGAAACAAAAGAAATTTATTGGCGGTTATAGAGGCTCAGAAGTCCAAAATCAGGATGCCAGCAGTCAGCGCCTGGTGAGGGGTTGCTCTCTGCTTCAAAGATGGTGCCTTCTTGCCGTGTCCTCATATGGCAGAAGGGGCCGAGGAGCCTTTTTTTTTTCTTTTTAAAGAAACAAAAGCAGTTAACTTTTATTTTTAAAAATATACATACTTAGGCAAAAGACTGAAAACACACACAAAACTGGTTTTCCTGTGGGAAGTAGGATTGGACATGGGAGAGGATAGAAATTTATTTTTCTAAGTTAGAGCATATATTGTGTTTCTATAGCATCTGTGTGTTATTTTTAAATTTTTTTATCTTTAATTATTATGGATACATAATAGTTGTACAATGTTGAAGAAACTCTTATAGACATTGGCCTAGGCAAAGAATTTATGAAGAAGACCCGAAAAGCAATCACAGCAACAACAAAAAATAAGTGGGACTTGATCAAATTAAAAAGCTTCTGCACAGCAAAGAAACTATCACTAGAGTGAACAGACAACCTATAGAATGGGAGAAAATATTTGCATGCTACACATCCTATAAAGGGCTAATAACTAGAATCTGTATAGAACTCAGGAAAATCAGTAAGAAAATATCAGGGAGCTTTCTTTAGCCTCTTTTATAAGGGCACTAATCCCATTCATGAGCGTGGAGCCCTCATGACTTAATCACTTCCCAAAGTCCCCACCTCTTAACACTGTCACATTAGGTATTAGGTTCCAACATATGAATTCTGGGGGTCTCCAACATTCAGACCATAGCAGGGCCTCAGGCTCAAGTCCTGTAAAAGCCTCTTGTCATTTAACTTCTTGTTATTCCTATGATTGACCTTTCTTGTCCCTCTTGTGATTTTCAGGCCACAACATCACGGCTGCTTTCCTAATGCAGAGGAAAAGTGAGCCCAAAGGACCCTTGGTAAGAATGGAGGGGGAGGTGTGGAGACTGTTGGCTTGTACCAATTTCATTGCAGCCGTTGGCAGAGAGACGTTATGTGCTGTGGGGGGAGGAGGGTGGAGTGAATCCTTGATTTTTCTGGCTCTGGGGTCAGCAGCTGATGGCATTGTGGGGACAGAGCCATTCTGGACACATGGGTGACAGCAGAAACAATGCTATTATTGAAACTGAGGCCCCGCACTGGACTGGAACAGACTGAGGACCAATGTGAATGGCCTGCCATGCTCCTGCACCCTGATCTCATCTGGTTTTCAGGGCAACTCTCATAAATTGTCTCCTTTTTCAGTGAGGCTCAGGGAACATACATCACTTGCCAGGGTCATATAGCTGGTGGGTGGCCGGGCCAGGATCTGAGTTCAAGTCTGTGTTTCTTGACAGCTGTTTGGAACAGAGCTTCTCCATCTTTAAAGTGTTTACAAATCACTTCGGGATCTTGTTAATCCCCAAGTGATTTGTAGACACAGCAAAATTTGATCTGCTGGGTCTTGGGTGGGGCCTGGGATTCTGCATTTCTAACAAGCAGCCCGGTAGCTTTGAGTATGTTGGTTTGGACCACGCTTTGAGTCGTGGGGCCCGGTGGCATGCTGTGTAGATGGTGGCAAGGTCCGGGCAGTGTAAACAATCTGTCAGCCCTGCTCGCTCTGCTCTTCCCTTCTTCAGCTGAAGTTGTTATTGTTGTTACTCAGCCCAGTTTAAGGGGTTATATCTTATGCCATCTTTGCAGCGTGTCATCTGTGTACAAGCCTTATTTACAAAACAACCTTGTCTGAGTCACTGAGTGAGCGGTGTAGAGCCTCCATTCACAGACTTTGGGTGGAGCTATTTCCTGGAACCTGAAACAAGAAGGGCCAGATTTTTTTTCCTTCTCGAGACCAAGAGCTTGGCAGGGTGATGCCCAAGAGAAACATGAAGTGTTTGGGGCCTGCTTTGCAGAGTACTCGGACAGTCTACCTCATTCTAAGTCAACCTGAGAGCTGAAAATCTAGATTTACACAAAGGGTGAATTTGGAGCTGATTATTTTATAAACATTTTTTGCTGTCCACTTCCTTTGCCCAGTAAGACTTTTCTACTGTATTTAAACAGGGGACCAGTTAACAAAATTTCAGTGTAGGTACAGCTTTTCAGGAGAGCTTATATTATGTAAGATGAGATCTCATTTTGGGTTGGAGCCGAGGACTGAGTGTAGCGTGGCTGTTATTGGAAGTGCCCATGGGTTTCTTGGCTCTGGGTTAGGCACTGCATGTCAACTCCCTTGACACCTGTCCCTCAGTGGAGGGTGTGACAGGGAAGCCCTAGCATTGGAAGGCTGTAAGTCTATCCTGAGCTCCACATTCTTTTCTCTTTTTAGATCAATTCTGAATTCTATACTGGCTGGTTAGACCATTGGGGCGAACCTCACTCGACAGTCAAGACTGAAAAAGTGGCTTCCTCCCTCTATGATATACTTGCCCGTGGGGCAAATGTGAACTTGTGAGTGTTCATTGCCTGTGGGGAGGGAGCCTTCAGTAGCGGTGGGCTCACAATAAAGTACTATGTGTTCTCTTGTTTTCTTGTAGGTACATGTTTATGGGTGGGACCAATTTTGCCTATTGGAATGGTAAGAGCAAGTTAACATCTGTTTGTGGAAAGCTTATGCCAGAAGGTTTCTGTTGGCTGATTTGG